CATCACATTTGCTTCTCTCTCCCTCTCTCTACGCCAGCGTCTTCGATTGCCCACAGTGCTGCATTCCCCATCGGTTGTTTAGCAGACATGTCGCTGTCGCCTCTCCATCCAGACAGGTCACCCTCTTACTGCAACCAACCCCGTTTGTACAATTAGTCACTAATATATGTATCCCCGGTTTCCATCTCTTCCTATCATACCTTTATGTCCACCTAACGTTTTAACTTCCGTTCCATGTAGGTGAGTATCGTGACAAGTTAACGACTCTATTCATATCGGTCTTAGCTAGGATCTAATTGCAGTACTTCGCTATCTTGATGCGTTTTATCCTTAACGTCTTCAGCCGCTATAGGCGCCATCAAATTTCTGTGACTTCCGCCCGTGTAAGACGATCCACGCTTATGTAACTGTTCTTCACGGGTTATTCAGCTTGGCCCAGGTTCGCACACTTTTCGTTTCTTCTGCAACTATTAGAACATATTTATAAAGCAGTAAAATTCATATTAACAACACACGCTTGCATTTGTACGTAATGCAAGAGGTCCTTACCCGTATTCGTAACCCCGGATCCCACTATTGCGAAAATCTGTCGCCACACCGAGGTGTTTTCTCACAAAAACAAGTCAATATTTATATAAAGACACTCTTATTCTTGGGTATCGAAGCATTCTTTCCAACTTGTTCGTATGTCCTTATAGCAGCCGCTTCAATGACTCCTTTCAGGGCGCGTTTGTCATGGTCATCGACGGACAAAGAGGCGTCGGGAAGGGGGACACCAACGCGGCTGCGACCCCTTATTATAATCGGGAAATTGGCATAGTACTCGCCCTTCGCACAGTCCTATGGGGCTGTGAATTTTCTCCCTGCATTTAACCCCTCATCGCGATTCTCAGTAGTCCATCGTACTACGTGATGGTGTAATGTTTAAACTTCTTCGCGTTGCCAAAGCTTACTATCACAGAACAAGCATCCAAGCGGGTGCAAGTGGTAAGGAGAGTGAGTTTGGTTTCTGCTCTCTGAAGGTTTGCCCGACCACCGTAAATGGTGAAGTTCTTGGACCAGCAAGTAGTTTCTGCCTTCCCGAGTTGTACTTTATGTCCATGTAGCAGTCGAGGACGTTAAGGATAAAACACATCGAGATAGCGAAGCACTGCAATTAGATCCTAGCTAAGACCGATATGAATAGAGTCGTTAACTTATCACGATACTCACCTACATGGAACGGAAGTTAAAACGTTAGGTGGACATAAAGGTATGATAGGAAGAGATGGAAACCGGGGATACATATATTAGTGACTAATTGTACAAACGGGGTTGGTTGCAGTAAGAGGGTAACCTGTCTGGATGGAGAGGCGACAGCGACATGTCTGCTAAACAACCGATGGGGAATGCAGCACTGTGGGCAATCGAAGACGCTGGCGTAGAGAGAGGGAGAGAGAAGCAAATGTGATGAGGAGTTGCGGTGAGGTGGTCGGCGGTAGAAAGAAGGAAGTGCACCGGTCATTTCCACCGGCACGCAGTTACACCATCACTATCCGAGGTCCGTGTGGAAAGTGTCTCTTCATTCAAACAACCCCAAACAATTCGTAGGGCGTTACACCCGGGGGGCAAAATAAGGCTGGGATG